TTTATATATATATATATATATATATATATATATATATATATATATATGTATGTAATGAGCACGTATTGGCCTAGTCTTGTTGCTAGTTGCATACTCATGCACAATAACATATGCAAAGTGAAGAGCGCACCCATAGAACTTCAAAATTAACCAGATCACTTTATTTTTTTAGTTGTGCAACTGCAGACATTCAGCATTTCAGTACCATTACTAAAATGCCCTTAATAGGCCAAAGTAGTTGTACTGAAACATTACATGCAAATGCACGCCTACTTAAAACAATATTTTGAAGCCCTATATGCGTTCCTTCGTTGGAGTAAGAGTTTTCAATTTCAAGTTATTTTTTCACCCTCTATATCAGCACACTATGCTGGCACGACGCATTATTGGGCTGGTTAAGAATTTTTTTCCAGGGCTGATTTTAGGTCCCGGTCCGGCCCTGGCCATCACCCTGTCTGCCTCTGGTCTGCGTATTAATGAGCTTCCCCCAAATGAAAGGAGAAGGTCTGTCTGTCTAGCCATTGCTGCTTTGAATAGATTTGCAAAGAACTAACTGACTTTGAGAGATCTCAATCCCAATCACCCTAGGACAGCTATGATAAAGCTATCAAAGTCTCCTTAGTGTTTTAAACCTGGATTTATTACAGCTGCCAGGAGTGACTGGGCAACTTGCCCCACTCATAATTGAGTCTATCACTTTTGAGTTGAAATGTTGGCAGTTCACCCCATGGTGACTGTAATAAAGGCATATTTATAATAATAATAATAAAAAAATATTTGAAACTTTAAAGGGATACTTTGAGCCCCAATACAACTTTAGCTGAATGAAACTGTTTTAGTGCATAGATCTGTATTCACACCAGGCTAACATGCCAGTAATATGGATAGACATGCCCCTTTTCCAGGCAGGCACGTTCTCTTTGGGACCACCCATTTTTCTCCCCTCCCACTGTGTCCTGATTCTGGGCTGCACAAAAAGTGACTTAGCTCCTAAATGGCAGAGAATTGGGCAGTTAGACTGCAGGGGCATAATTTATACACTTAAATTGCTTCATTGAGTTAATGTTGTTTTGGTGTGAATAGTGTCACTTTAAGTGCCCATTTCACATAACAAAGTAAGAGGGCATTAGGGCATCACAAGAGCTAAAATGCCTCTGTGTTAGACCCACTCGTCCCAGATTTTGCGGGGTAGTTCTTCTTTCTGTCCCATCTCTTGCCATGATAAGTTTGTATTGGGGATAAAAAAAAAAATCCCATAAATCACAGCACTTCATTTGATGTGCTTACTATGTGCGGAAGAAATGCTGGGATTTTCTACCCATACAATGCATATTACAGCATAGGTAATCCCTGAGGGTCAGGTCAGCATGCCTTACTAACAGCCAAGCAGCCAAGGAAGAATGTATGCCAAGTTGACCCTCCAACTTCTCAATCTGAACTCCCTCAAAATACATTCCCTGCTCAGCACCCCCTGCGCAGTTGCACACAGATTCACAAAATATACGAAATTTATTCTAAGATAAACATTATTACCCTACAGATGTTAAAATTGTAACACAATGGGAAAAAATAACAACTAGACATGTTCCATATCCTGTGATGATACACAAAGAGAACAACACAAATCCAAAGACATTTTAACCCCTTAAGGACAGATGACGGAAATAATCCGTCATGATTCCCTTTTATTCCAGAAGTTGTGTCCTTAGGGGGTTAAACTCCTTTCCTGTTTTCCCAGTGCTATAATTCTAACTTTTAAAGATGCGATAAAGTTTTATTTTTATACTCTAAGTGACATTTATTGTCCTAGTAAAGTTAGGGTACTGATAAATTAGACACATCTAAACTTTCCCCCTGGCAGTCATTTTGTTCCAGTTTCGTGGAGACAAAATATGTTTAGTACAGAAATATGAAGCGTAGTCAGCCTAAATAGAATTATCTTGGTTCTTAAAAATAGCTGATCCCTGCATGTTAGAAGAGGTTTGATTAATTGCAAGTGGCGCAATACATTTTTCATGCCTCTTATGTGTTACAACTAATGGAACCCTATGGTCAGAAAATGTGATAATGTAATTAATGTAAGCCTAAGTAAAGTTATTAAAGTAAGATTTCTTTAGAACAAATTCCACTCTTCGCAGCTTTTTTAAACAGCATGTCTTGTGAATTTCAAGGATGATCTTGAGAGCAAGTCTGAAGGCAGTCCGAACACTATGCTTACTGGTGGTATAACAATCAGTATGTTTGCTCCAAAACGCCACTACAAATGAACCCTTTCCCCATGCCTTGGCTTTCCCCTGACAGTAATTTTAGAATGGTTTGATTTCTTACATGGGGTGCCGCTCCCTATGGAAATTCACAGTTGTTAAAGAAACACTACAAGTACTATAGCTACTTCAGTTCTCTGTTGTAATTATGGTGCCTGGAGTGAAGACAGGGAGTGGGGCCCAGCGCATCCCAGGTACAAAGTCAAACTGTGCTAAAGTGATTTCACTCCTTAAAATGGGGGAGCCCCAGGCCCCCCATTCCTCCTGGCACCATAATCACCACAGAGTGCTGCAGTGGCTATGGTGATTGGAGTATGAATTTAACCACTGTATTTCTTTACCTGTGCGGCTGTCTCTCAATCCATTAAATATTGTCCCTCTCACTAAGACTCCCTCAATCTTTGGTCTTTAGTGACCTTTAGTCTATATCCTCTTGTTATTAATAAGAACAATTGAGGTCACCGGTAACAACCCCTCCCCCCCACCATTACAAACAGGAGTTACCAGTAGTCTTTGTGGAACAGAAGCAATAACTAAATACAAAGTAACCAAAGAATACCCATCGTCTCACTAGTTGAGAATGATGGAAGTTGGTAGGGGGTGAAAGATAAAACCCAACACCAGGCAAGCAGTGGCACTTGTCTTGTCGCTTAATCTTGCCCGAGTTTTAAGTGGCATGAGTAGTGTACCCACCCCAGGAGTCATGCACTGGGAGGGCTCTGTGGCTGTGAGTGTATGACTCTCCCAGCACAGAGACATGAAGCAGGTGCAGGGAGGCTTGTTTTTTTTTCAGTAAGTGCCAATAGTGGCACAGGGACCTGGAATCAATAAATCTGCCACGAATGATCGCACTACAGTATATTATATATTATATATATATGATCTAAGTATATACATACACACACGTACACTGTATAGGTGTATTTTACTATTAATATATATATATATTGGGAAATACTTCCTTACTTATTTTTTGCCTAGGTGAGGTGTTTTTAAATAAAACTATTACAATTTCTAAAATTTTGAAAGCATTGTTTAGTGAATAAGCGAGTGCGCTGGATTCTGTATTTTGTATATTTTGGCCCCAGCAGCACCCTATAATGTATGCATGTTTAGGTGAGTGCAGCCCTCTTGGTTTTGTTTGTATATTTGGGAGTCTAGGCCAGCTCCTTGGTTTTGCACCCCTCCCTGTCACAGGTGCCTCATTCCAGGATCCTATTTAGCCTTGACTTGCAGAGAGTCCCAGTAAGGAAGTATTTCCCAAGTAAGTGGATCAATCTCATAAGGGCAAGCATTAGGCTGCTAGAGTAGGACCTGCCAAGAATGGGGTACATTGACGTTGTGGCAGGCTTATGCAATATATGATCATATAATGTAACTAAACCCCCATTATTTTTTGCCTAGGTGAGGTGTTTTTAAATAAAACTATTACAATTTCTAAAATGTTGAAAGCATTGTTTAGTGAATAAGCGAGTGCGCTGGATTCTGTATTTTGTATATATAAATATATATATATATATATATAATCAAATTACACGTAGACTGATACTGATTAAATATATATATATATAATTGTTATATATATTTATATATAATATAAAAAAATTAAATATGTAAATACGTTAAAAAATAAAATAACAAAAAAAATAAAAAAATAATTAAAAAATATATAGATGTGTGTTATTTCATTCTAACTGTATTGTGAAATTAATATATATAAATAATCAAAATACACGTAGAACGAAATATATATCTATATACATATATATATATATATATATATATATATATATATATCTCTATAAATAAAAATATTTTAAAAAAATTATATAGATATATATACACATACGTGTATATATATACATAATTCTACATATATATATTTATGT